CTGGGGGGAGGGAGGGGGGGGGGCGCGGTGTCAAGGGCTCCACTTGTTTGTCCACCTGCGGGAGGAGGCAGAAGGAGGGCACGCGGTGGCGGAGGTGGCGCGTGCGCCCTGGCGCAACCCGCCTCTGCACGAGCCGCATCCCCTCCCGGCCAACCTCACCACGCCGAGCGCCGGCTCGGGGAGGAGCCCTGGGACGGCGCTGCCGAGGGCTGGCGCCGGAGAGAGAGAGGGAGAGCCGACGGGCCCGGCACGTGGCCGCGGAGGGAGGTGGTTGGAGGAGGGGAGGCGCGGGAAAAGGGGTTCTGAGGATGCGGAGGGCTCCCGGGAGAGAGGAGTGCGGAGGGGGGGGCCAAGAGAAGTGGGAGGAGGGGGGGGAAGCTATCCAGTCCAGGACTGGACCCCCGCGTCGTCGTCGTTGTCGCCGTCGTCGTCGTCGCCACGTCCAAGTGTGATCCACGGGTTCTCGCCTTCAGGATCAGCACCCATCGTGAGGTGATACTTGGACCATCCCTCTTACGGCCCTGAACCATTACAAAGTATGACCTCTCGCCCCTGGGGCAACGACCATCCAGAACATACCACGGGCCACAAACAAATCCGCCACCGTGTCTTTTGTTTTGCACGCCCGAGCGTGCTATAGCCTGGGCTGGCACGGGAACGGAAAGAGCAGTTCATGAACTTGTCCGAGAGGGCTCACGGCACCGTTCGCTCTTGGGAGCTTTGACGTGAAGAGCTTTTTTACGTCATCGTTCGCTCTTGGGAGCCTGTGGAGAGCTTGTCACACCATCGTTCGCCCTTGGGAGCCTCGGCGTTAATAGCTTTCTGCGCCACTGCTCGCTCTTGGGACCTTTGGCGTTCAGAGCGTTTGGTGGCACGCCTCGTGTTGCAATCACAAGCCTTCTCCGGTCACCTGGTGCTCGTGGGAGCCTTGGCGTCAAAGCTGAGTGGGTCATTGGGCCGTCCAGGGGGGGTCCTCGGGGGGGCCCTTGGGATGTCTTGGGGTCCTATCGGGCCGCTCGGGGGCCCGCCTGGGCGGTTTCGGGAGGCCTCGGCCCGCCTCGGGGCCCTCTTGGGATGCTGTTAGCCTCCCACGGCATACTGGGAGGCCCTCCTGGGAGCCTCTTTGGGTCCTCTGGAGCCCCCTATGGAGCCGTATTGGAGCTCTCGGTGGCCGTCTTGGGGCCCTCCTGGGCAATCTTGGGCTCCTCTTGGGAGCCCCCTGGCCCATCTTGGGGCAATCTCGGGGGCCCTCATGCCGTTTTCGGCCGATCTGGGCCCGAAGCGGGCAAATGAATGCATGTTGCCTCCGCAGGCCGTCTTCGGGCCCTCTTGGGCCGTCCCAGGGGCCTCTTGAAGCTGTCTCGGGCCATCTCTGCCACCTCCTATAGCCCTCGTGGGCTCTCTTGTGAGCCTCTTGGGGCCCTCTGGGCACCTCTTGGGGCTCTCTGTGGCCGTCTTGGGGCCCTCTGGGGCCGTCTTGGGGCCCTCTTGGGAACCTCCTGGGCCGTCTTGAAGCAATCCCCGATGCCCTCAGAGCCGTTCCCGGCCGAGCTTGGCCAGAAATCTGTGCGCCATAGAGGGGGTCAAACGCTGACCCCTGCGGCTGACCTCCCAAAAGCATGTGTATGCTGATGTTGTTTTCCGTGCGAACTGCTGCAAGACATCACCACCACCCGAGACCCGCCGTCCCAATTTCGGCTCTCTCGAACTGTCGAGCCAGCCCCGCTCGATGGCCCTGTGGGGGGACTGGCGGCGGGGAGGACCGTGCGCACGGGTACACTGCTCCCGCTGGGAGGGCCTGCTCTTCACTCCTGCGCCCCTCCGCTGCGCTTCCACCTAAGAAACAAAAAAAAAAAAAAAACCTGCGTGGATGTGCATGCCAAAGGGTTGGGCAAACTCAGCCCGCATCGAAACAGCAAATCTGGTCGAATGGGACTGCGCATCGGGTCGGGCTGCATCGGCACGAAATCGCGCCAAGATCGGCATGCAAGCCTCGGGCCGCACCGGACCGTCGGAGTATCGACGGCTAGTTAGACGCAAGAGTGACCCTGGGCAAGAGTGACCTTTCGTGCGCGGCTTACTGGTGGACGCGGGGTGGCCAAACCCAGGCATGCAAGACGCTGCTGTCGCTGCGCGCTCAGCGATTGGGGGTCCCCGTTGGGCCCGCACCAAAAGGTCACTCTGGCGAAAGGTCACTCTTTACGTGTAGCCGATGTTGGCATCGAGTCGGATCGAGCGGGCCAGAGTCGATATCGACCCGGGCAGGCAGGACGAGCACGCGGAGCCTACGGGGCGAGCGGAGGCTTCGGACGTCTCCTCTGGAAGGCACGCGGGCGTCCAAGAACCCCCGCCCAGGCCGGCGCCCAAACCCACGTCCAAGCCGATGGATTTCTGTCAATTCAATACCCCAAGGCGGCGAGCGAAACACGAAGTGAATTTCCCGTGGATGTGTGTTGGTCTTCCTTCCTGGCCCAAAACAAATCCGCACGAAGTTCATCTCGAAACCTGGAACGAGATTCTCCGGGACACTCCTGGTCCATCCTCTGGATGTTTTCAGAACGAGATCCGCTCTGCGATGTTGGCGCCATGACCCGCGTCCAGATCCACCTCCGAAGCCACGCCCAGACTTGAGGAATGAAAAAACGCCCCTACCCTGGGTTACAAGTGCGTAGTCAGCAAACCTCCTGGGAGCTCCCACAGGCCAGAGAGCCGCCAGGACGCCGCGCGGCACGCGCGATACGCAGGGTTTACCCTGTCAGCCCACAGGAGGTTCAGCGCACAGCGCCTCGTAAAGCAGGGTAGGGGCGTTCTTTCTGCCCTTGAATGTTGGCGCCATGACCCGCGTCAAGATCCACCTCCGAAGCCACGCCCAGACACTCTGCTGGTGGGCGGCCGCACGGGAGCAGGACGGCGGTCGAGCCGCGGCGGGGCGCGCCCGTGCACAGCTAGGCGAGCGCGTTCCGCTGCCCGCAAAGGAACTGCTCGCAGATGGCCCGGATCCGCCGCAGAGAAACTCCTCGCAGAGTAACTGCTCGCAACTGGCCTGGTCCAGGGAGGAGGAGGAGGAGGAGGAGGAGGAGGAGGAGGAGGAGGAGGAGGAGGAGGAGGAGGAGGAGGGGGAGGAGGGGGAGGAGGAGGGAGGAGGAGGAGGAGGAGGAGGAGGGGAGGAGGAGAAGGAGAGGAGAGAGGAGGGAGGAGGAGGAGAGGAGGAGGAGGAGGAGGAGGAGGCCCCGCACGGGCCTTCCTGCGGGGCCACGTGGCCCCCCCGCCCGCCGCTAGGAGCACCTCCGCGGGGCGGAAGGGAGTCGAGGGCCCCCGCCAGGAGAGTACGAATAGTTTTTCGGACCCAGCTCTGGTAGCAGACTGAGTTCGGACATCTAGATACTTGAGACGAGCGTTTCTGACGATTCTCTTCCGATCGCTGCACCGAACAGCTCTGTAGCTCATCTGCAGCTCGAGCCAATAAAAAAGCCATCATCGCCTGTTAAAAAATTAGCGAGTGGAAGAAGCGCCCATCATCTCCCTGTGGGGCGCCCTCCACGCGGAGAGGCCCTGTCAGGTCGGGCGAGAAGGCGCGAGCGGGCGAGCGAGCGCGCCGCCCTCGGGCCCGGAGCGGGCGCGCGCGCGGTGGGTCTGAAGCCCTGGAATTTCCGTTCGCGCAGTTTTCGGTGTGCCCTTCCACGACGCCAGGTCGGCGGGGGGGGGGGGCTGGCCAAGGGGGGGCCGAGTCCAGTCAAGAAGGGGGAGCAGGGGGGGTAGTCAAAGGGGGGGGGGTAGTCAAGGTGAGGCAGTCAAGAAGGGGGGGGGGTAGCGAATCTGCCCACGCAGCTGGGGAGGCGCCCATCTGCTGAGGCAAGGCGCCCAGCGGCGGAGCCGAAGCCCGCTGCACGCCCCTGTCCCTATCCCAGTAGAGCCCAGAATCGAGCCGATAACTCGAACCGGCGATCGAAATCGATCGGATCGGCGGAAACCGGCAGCCAAGTCGGGAGGAGTCGAACCGGCGGAAGGAAATCGGCAGAGCGGCAAAGCCCCATGGAGAAATGGGGATCCACATCGGAATCCGAGGCCGAATCAAGTCGGAATCGGAAGCCACCGAAATCGAATCGAACCGAATCGAATCGGAGGAATCGAAACGAGCCCTCCCGTCCCCCCCGACACGACCCGACACTGGGAGCGGCGGGCGGCGATCTCCTCCTCCACCTGGTGCACCCAGCGGCCGTCGAAGGGCCCTCTGCCGTCCACGAAGAGCCGCTGGGACCGCCCCGGCGCGGCTGGGCGGCTGTCACACGGCAGGGCAAAGGACTTCAAGGAGGAGGAGGAGGAGGAGGAGGAGGAGGAGAAGGAGGAGGCTAGACTCGACCCTGAAAGGTCATGCAGACAAATTCAGACAGCCCGAGGACCCCCCCAGCCACTGACCCTCAGCCGCAGCTGGGAAGGGCCAGCGATCAGGGGTCGAAGAGGTCATCGGGTTGAGAGGCCACAAGGCCACGTCGCCAGGGCCCTCGCCCTGGCCTCAAGAGCTCTCGACCCCAAGAGCTGGGCTTGGGCCAGCTGGAGCCCGAAAAGCGGGGGCGCCTCCAGAATCGGAGGCCTCTTCGGGCCCTCCGACGGAGTCCCTACCTGGGTCACCTCTGAGCGCACAAGGGAAAAATGTTCGGACCAAAACGAGATCACGGCGTCCGATGGGGGACCTGCGCTCACCGAGCCTTTTCGCACCCCCTTTGGGATGCTTACCCGGGGCAAGTTTATTATTCTACTTACTCTTCGGGATCGGGCGACCTGGACAGTAGTCCTGGAGGCCTCGTCCTTGCCTGTCCGAAACATAGCCTCTACAAGTTGCGCAGAACAGCAGGGCCGAAATTTCTCCTGTCTCGGGGGGGAAAGGCGCCGCGAGCAAGGACCGCCCGCACACGCGCCACGGCCGCAGCGAGCCGTCTAGGCCAGGCAGCGGACCCCCCTGCGCAAACGGGGTCCGCGCTAACCGACGGGGCCGCACCCTCCTCGCAGGCCCCGGCAGGATCGGCGGGCCACTCGTCCAGGTCGACGATCTCCAGGGCCTTGACCCCCATGGAATCGCGGAGGCCCGACCCTGCGATGTGCCCCCCCTGCGCTGCCGCACACCTCGCCGCGAAGCGGGCGATGAACTGGCCGCCCTCGACGCAGTGGATGTCGTTGCTGTCCGCTCGAACTGCAGCGGCACCTTCTTCAGCTCGGGCGTCTGCCATGGCGTTGCCATCGAGCTCGAACTGCGTGATCAGCCCTTCCTTGACTGCCTGCGGCCCCAAGTAGGCCCTGACCTCGATGACCTCCGCGTCCTTGAGCCTCTCCGCCCGCCCAGCCCAGAGGTGGGATCGCTGGCTGCCCGCCGCGGCCGCCGCCAGAGGACCGGCAGCACAACGCACCGTCGCAAGGCAGTCGCAGCGGAGCTTGAAGGAGCCCCAAGCGATGGTGTCGGCGAGGACCTTCACCGCGTAGTCCTCACCATCTCTGGCCACCTGCTCAGGTCCTTCCGACTCCGGGACCGAGCCCCACGCCTCGGCGGCCAGCTTGCGGTGCTTGTCAAAGACGCTGATGGACCAGCCAGCTGTCCTCAGGCCCAGGCAGTTATGATCGAGCCCTTAGCCGTCCTCGGCGATGGGCCCAAAGCTCGGCCAGCTGGTCGCGCGCTTGAAAAGGTCGTCGGTTCGGGGCGGTATCTGGACCAGCTCTGAGATGTCGAGAAACAGCCCCCTTGCGAACAGTTCCGTGAACGGATAGCCCATGAGCTCGACTCGCGCAGCCGCCCCCCGCAAAGGCGGCTCCAGGAACTCGCGCCTCCAGCCGTCGCGCGCCTCGCACCTGAACCGCCTGCGGAAGAGGGTGCCGACTGGGTGGTCGCAGAGCTGGCAGCACTTGGGGACGGAAGGGGTCGGCCGCTCCGACCCTGTCCTGGCACCAGTAGGTGTTCTGGATGAGGCAGCGCAGCGCCCTCTGGCGGCGCAGGTCCCACACCTCAGAGCGGTGGCTGGCCAGGTCGAGGATCGGCTGCCAGAAGGGCGGGGCCCCCCAGCCCCGCGTGCTGGAGCCGTGCCGCTTCACCTCCTCGAGCCCCATGGCTCGTCGGCAGTCCAGGGAGACCATGTGGCAACAAAAAAGCTGGGGAGTTGCGACGAACTCGATATTCGTGGCCCAGCGCGTCATGGAGCCTGTAGGGGTCGCCGCTGATGAATACCCAGACGGCCCGCTCGAGCGCGAGCACCAAGGCGCTGATCGGCACCTTCACCAGCCGCCAGGGGCGCAGCCTCTCGGCGATGACCAGGCCGGCGGCGAGGCAGTAGCGGGCCGCCGCCTCGGGGAGCAGGGGGGCCCAGACCATCTCGACGTAGGCCATCAGCGCCGTCTTGGCGACGATCGCCAGGGGGCCCCGCTTCCAGCCACCTGACTGGCCAAGGCTGGCGAGTCCCAGGGCGGCCCCGCGGGCCAGTCGGCCTCTCGCCCTGGTTGCCCCGACGCGGAGCCGACGGAGGCGGCCGCTGGGCACCACCATGATCGCCGAGCCGAAGAGGCTTTCGCAGAGGGGCCTGCTCTGAAGACCCTCGCTCGACTGATCGAGGGCCTGAACAGTCCGGTTAGCTTCCTCCCTCGGCGTGGAGCGGCCTTCCCACGAGCCGCCGAGGTCGCTACACGTCGGTAGGAGCCCGACACGGCGTCGCCACCCAGGTCCCTGCGCACGCCTACGAAGTCGCCCTCCGCGATGTCCCAGCCAGGCTGGCTCTTGAGGGCGTCGCGGAGCTTGCTGCTGGTAGCCAACGCCTTGGTCTTGTTCCTGCTGAGCGGCAGGTTGGCATCCTCCATCTTCGCGCAGAAGGCTCGATAGGCAGCGGCCAGCTGCTGGGCTACCATGGTGCAAGGCCCAGCCGCATGGCACGAGACATCGTCGACTACGTTGAGGACCCCGGCGACGGGAGCCGCCAAGGCCGCTGCCCTGAGGGCCGAAATGAGGAGGAGCTTGGCCAACGCCGCGGCACACGAGCAGCCTGCCACCACTGCGCCGTTCGCCGCGACGGCGTCGCTGAGGCAGGTGCCGACGCGGGCCCTCCGAGGGGCCCGATAGGTGCAACGCAGCGCGCGTAACAGCCACACGTCGAAGCCCCGCGCCTGCGCCGCGACCTTGAGCTCGCAGTGCCCGATGTGCTCGTAGTAATTGGATAAGTCGGCGTAGAAGGACCCAGCCGCCTCGAGGGGGGGCTTCGCGTGGGCCGCGAAAATGTCGTGGAGCCTGGCCGCCTCATCACACCCTCGAGATGAGGAGTTGCCCCAGAAGGCCTGCTGGTCAATGGGCCGCTCCCACTTGGCACATTCCCTCAGTCGCATGCGGGACCAGATCCTGGCGAGCATCGGCATGGGCCTGATGGGCCGCTGGCCAACGTCGGGCTTCGGTCGGGGAACCATGATGATGGCCCAGAGCTCGCCACAATGCGGGTTGCGCCCGCAAGAATTGAGCAAGCTGGCAAGCCTGAACAGGGCATCGTCTCCGACCTCCAGCAGCAACCGAGGATGGAAGTTGCTCCACCCCATGCGCGTGGCGTTGGGGAACTTTCGGGCCACCAGCTTGATATCGTCGATCGTGATGGGCTTGAGCGCCCAGTCCCCAGTCTCCCAAGACATGGGGCGCTCCTGATTCGTCCGTAGTGGGCCCACCCAGAGAGGGAGCCAGTCCTCGAGGACCCTCTCTAGCTAGCGCAGGCTGTCCGACGAGGGCCGCGTCGGCGGAGCCCTTCTCCAGGGTGGGCGATGGCACGCCATGGGGCCCCTTTCGAGACCTCGTGGGCGATGGACCCCTGCCGCTCGAAGGTCAGCTCGGTGCATTCGCCCCACTTCAACTTGCTGGCCTGGGGGTCCCCCATGGCATGTTCGACCGCAAGCTGCTCGATCATGGCCATGAGGTTGTAGCCCATGTCCGTCTGGAGGCTGGCTTCTTCCCAGAGGCTGTCGAGGATGGAGCCGTCGAACACGGCAATGCCCAGGTCCTGAAACTCAGCACGAAGGCGGAGCGCCGCCTCTCGCAGCGGCTACCCTCGTCGGGCTTTGGAGCCGCCTGCCAGGCCGCCCGGGCCCAGCCCCCACCCGCGCTTGGCGAGGCGACGAAGGGGGAGCCGGCACAGGGTGATAGCCGAGGCCTTGTCGAGTCTGCCTGCATGCACCTTGGCCTGGAGCGGTGCGGCGATCATCCTGATGCCCTGAGCCCTGCCGTTGAAGTAGCGGGCCTCGTCCTCAGACATTCCTCGGAGCGCCTGCAACGCCAGTTCTGCCTGATTCAACCACTCCTTGATGGGGCCATCATACACAGTGTCGGATGGAGGCCACGCCAGCGACTCGACCAACTGGCCCCACCTGCCTCTGACCATGTCATCGGCCACGCTCTCCAACTCGAAGGCCTCGGGCACCCTCCGGGCCTGCACCACGGGCCGCTCCCAGCAGCCATGCAGTGCCAGGGAAACCGCCTGATGAGGACCGTTCGGCGCGTCGGCATGGGCCGTGATGGAGCCCGCCATGGCCTTCAACGCTGTCGAGATGACGAAGTAGTCGTACTCGTTGCCATTGCACGCGGCTGCCCCTGGGCCCAGCACAGCCCCTCCGATAAGGGCTGGCCAACCAGAGTCCAAGAGCTCCGGGGCCTCGATGTTCCAGTCGCCGCCTATCACGACGGGGTCGTCCAAGAGCACGCACCACTCGCGGAGGTCGGCGAGCAGCTGGCGGTTGGGCCCCCGCAGGTCCACGGAGTCCTCGAGGTAGACCGAGATCATGGCAATGGTGGTGCGCCGCTGGCCAGAGAGGTAGCCCAGAGTAGCCCAGAGAGATCCTGTGGGGAGGAACCTGCGCCGCTGGCCAGCCCAAGGCTGGGCGCATCTCGCCGAGCTCAACAACTTCGAGGTGACGATGCCGACGCCAGACGAGACAGCCGCGGCCGCCTCCCCCGTTCTGGGCGCAACCGAGCAAGCCAGCTGGAGTCCGCATCGGTTGGCCCACCCGTGGGCCTGCTCCTCGGCGGTGTGGAAGGAAAATCGCGTCTCCTGGGCCAGTGCCACGTACGGCTCGATCCCTTTCCTGCGCACCCACTCATGGACACTGGCGATCGAGTTCCAAGCATTACCGTTGCAGGTGCAGACGCGGAGGTCGCCATCGAGCGAGCCCTGTTGCAGCGCCAAGGGCTCCAGCTTGGGCAGGCACTGCGCGAGAATGATGGCTACCACGTCTGAGACGACGGGCGTCTGTCCTGTGTGCTGGGCCAGACTCTGTCTGCACTTCCGTCACCGCGGGGTCTGTCCCAGCTGGGCGTCGGGCCTCCTGGTCGACGCTGCCTCCGTGCCCGGCGGGCGTCGACCACCCCGCCGCAGGGGGCAGGGCAGGCAGGGGCCACGTGGGGGGAAGGGGCTGCTGTCCGAGCGGCCTCGGCCCCCTCGCCACGTGCCCCAGCAGCGGACCAGGAGGGCTGCCCGCCTCCCCTCTGCCAGGGGGGCCGCGACCCTGCGAACTGACCAACAGCCCCGTCACCAGCAGCAGGCGCAGCAGTAGCGCTGGCCACCTTCTGCTCGGTGGCCCGCTGGTGGGCTGCCTCGGCTGCCGCGTCACCGAGCTCGGCTGCCTTCGCGGCTCGTTCGCTGGAACCGCTGGCGGGTCCGCCAGCGGCGGCGGTGGCAGTGGCAGCCGCCGCGGCAGCAGGGGGGGGGGCGCCTGGCGCTCGGCCGCCGCTGCTGCTGCTGGCTCCTTAGCGGGGGCCCCTGCAGGCTCCTCAGGCTGGGGCCGCTCCCTCTTGCGGCGCTTGCTGGCCGCGGCTTCCTCGATGTCCTTCTTGAGCCGCTGCAGCTGCTCCTGGCAGTTGCGTTCGAACATCGCCCCGGCCTCCAGCATGGCCCTGTGGCCCTCCTCGCACATCTGGAGGTTGGTCTGGGCCTCCTTCTCCAGCTCGCTGAAGTTCTCGAGCGCCCCCGCGTCGAAGGCGAAGGTGACTGACTTCGAGCCATCGGGAGTCGGCGGCGACATGCCCGAGGCCTGGGCCCGACTGCGCAGGAGCTTGGCCTCCTCCGCCTGGGCCTCCGCCGGGCTGGCTGCGACGGTGCCGCGCTAGCCACGGCACGTGTCCAGCTGTTCCTCCGCCGCAACCAGGGCGCCGGCGGCCTCGTCAAGCTGGCGCTTGAGGTTGATGCGTCGATCGGTGGCCGACTGCAGCTGTTGCTCAAACGTCTTAGGGGCGGGATGAAGTCACAGGCCTCCGCAACCGCCCCCCGGAGCTTGGCCGCCATGGACGGGTCGGGGATGGCCAGCAGCTCGTCGAGCTCCGATGACCCGGATGACGGCCCGGGGGCGCCAGGAAAGCCACGGCGGCCATCGACGGCGCCGCTCGCCGCTGCGGCCTTGGCCTTGGAGCTCCCACCCGCCACTGCGGCCTTGGCCTTGGGGCTGGCCTTCGGCGCTGCCCCTCCTGCTCCATTGCCCGCCCAGACTCCATTGCGCGGCGACGGGTTGACAAGCTTGAGCTCGAGGGATTGGCCACACGTCCAGCAATGCGTGTTCTTGAGGAAGTTCCACCTGAAGCGGCACGCGGCGCAGCTGACGAAACCTGGCTGAGC